AAAAAAAACTTAAGAGTTTGACCTTTGTAACAAAACAAAAACTAAAATTTTAATTTTGTTAATTTAAATTTTAATCTTTTGATTTTTGTCAATTTAAATTATCTACTTATTTTTGCTAAGCAACACTAAATATATTTTAGTCATTAAACATAACGAAAAAGGGTATTTGGGGCTATTTCTATTTGCATAAACTAAAACTTTAATTTTGTTAATTTAAATTTTAATCTTTTGATTTTTGTCAATTTAAATTATCTACTTGTTTTTGTTAAGCAACACTAAATATATTTTAGTCATTAAACATAATGAAAAAGGGTATTTGGGGCTATTTCTATTTGCATAAACTAAAACTTTAATTTTGTTAATTTAAATTTTAATCTTTTGATTTTTGTCAATTTAAATTATCTACTTGTTTTTGTTAAGCAACACTAAATATATTTTAGTCATTAAACATAATGAAAAAGGGTATTTGGGGCTATTTCTATTTGCATAAACTAAAACTTTAATTTTGTTAATTTAAATTTTAATCTTTTGATTTTTGTCAATTTAAATTATCTACTTGTTTTTGTTAAGCAACACTAAATATATTTTAGTCATTAAACATAATGAAAAAGGGTATTTGGGGCTATTTCTATTTGCATAAACTAAAACTTTAATTTTGTTAATTTAAATTTTAATCTTTTGATTTTTGTCAATTTAAATTATCTACTTGTTTTTGTTAAGCAACACTAAATATATTTTAGTCATTAAACATAATGAAAAAGGGTATTTGGGGCTATTTCTATTTGCATAAACTAAAACTTTAATTTTGTTAATTTAAATTTTAATCTTTTGATTTTTGTCAATTTAAATTATCTACTTATTTTTGTTAAGCAACACTAAATATATTTTAGTCATTAAACATAATGAAAAAGGGTATTTGGGGCTATTTCTATTTGCATAAACTAAAACTTTAATTTTGCTAATTTAAATTTTAATCTTTTGATTTTTGTCAATTTAAATTATCTACTTGTTTTTGTTAAGCAACACTAAATATATTTTAGTCATTAAACATAATGAAAAAGGGTATTTGGGGCTATTTCTATTTGCATACTATATTTTATCTAAGTACATACAATTTGTGATGTTCGGTTATCAACTTCTAAACAAAAACAAGATGTTCAAATATCAACTTCTGAACAAAATCTAATTGTTTGAACAAAATCATGTTCAACAGTTGATATCCGAACATTTGTATTTTATTCGAAAGTTGATATTTGAATGACACAAATAATGTTTACTGAGAGAAATTGTGAGTATGTAAATAGAATCTCTTGTATTTTAGAAATTTTTTGTACCCCTACATCTACTTACACCATTGTTTCAACTTATTACACCCTTCAATTTTAAATTTTTTTTTCATATTACATTTCAATCATTGTATATAATTACTAAAATATCATTCCACCTTAAAATTTTTAAATCCAATTTTTCATTACACCCCATCCCATTACCACCATCTCTATCAGCCCATTATTGTCATTGCACCTTCACCACCAATTAGCCCCTCAACGCCAACCGTTGCAATCTAGTCTCTCTTTACCTCACCCTGCTACCCCCATCTGTTGCCACTCAACCATTTCCGCTTTACCCTATAACCCCTAACTTTTCTTCGTTGCTATTCTCCTTCTCTTGTCTCTTCTTTTTCTTCTTTTTTAAGATCTGGAAACCCTAGGTCTTCATTTCTTTCTCTCTCGCAGTGAATTTAGTGAGGAATTGGATCGCAATGGTGGTGGGTACATAAATCTAAAGTGTTGCAGAAGGAAGTGGCTATGGTGGTGGTCATCGTTGCGACAGTGAAGCGATAGTGTAACCTCTTTAACTTAATACTCGATAAATTAATAATCAATTTTAAATAATAAAATTGTCTGGTCTCGACTTAGGAGTCACGTGCTAAATTAATAATCTTCATAAAATTATAAGATAATACATTTCAAATATTTATTTTGTATTTTATGGGTCCCAAATATTTTATAAATTAATAATTAACTAAAAGGTACATAATACATTTCATCTATCACGGTTATTTTCTTTACACTTTTGAGATGGGAAGTCTTTTTTGCTATTTTTGAACTAAAGATAACCTAAACTATACGGGATTGTGTTAGGTTAAATAGTGTTTGCTTTGATTCAATACATTGTATGCACTTATTTTAAATAAGTTGAATAAATTGAATCTTTATGCTAATTATAATTCAATAAATTGTTAATTGATTAGATATAGAGATATATTTTGTAATATTTTGAATCTTAACTTAGTTACTTGATGTGATCAATCAAATTGAACCTTGAAAAGTGAATAAATAAAATAGGGTAAATTACACTTACCTTTCTTAAGATTTTTGATAATAACAGTGACCTCTTGTATGGTTTTAATAATTACACTATCCCCTAACTTTTGAAACTATTATCAAAATTCTCCCACTGTTATGCTATTTAACAGAATTTGTTGATATCACACCAAAAATGATAAATTGCCCATTAATTACGTTATTTATTTAAATGAGAAATTTCACTTACTTCCTCTAAAGTTTTGCATATATGTTATCAAAGACTCATACATATTTTACCATTATTTAATAAAATTGTTAAATTTCACGCAATATTAAATAAAATCTTTAAATTGTTAAGACATTATTAAATCATTTAATGCAAAAAAAAAAAAAAAAAACCTTAATTTTTATTGATAAAATACTTAAAAATAAATAATCTCTCTAAAATTAATGTTAGATAACATTGTAATAATTTAGTATAAGACTTACTTCACATCACATAAATAACCTAAAATTTATTATTTTAAGAAATGCTTTTATTATTTGAATTTTTTTTAAAGTTAAAATAAATAGATTTAGTTTTTTTCTGGCAATTTGCATTACTTATTTATTCGTATGTAGAAAAAAAAATTATTGTTTTATCTTCTCTCAATTATATATTATTTTCAATTTTTAATTTTTGTCTTTGAGTCATTAAACTTCTAGACGATGCATATTTTTAAAAAAAACGCAGATTAATATTTCTACATGATTAAAAAAATAAAAATAGAATTAAAAAAAATTTAATCGCCTCTCAATAAATTAAAATTAGTTAATAGGGAATGAAAAATTAAGAAATCATTTGAGAATAAACAATTCAAACAATTTGTTATTTCTTACACCTAAAATAAAAATTAATCTTTACCTGAATGGATAAATTATTTGAGAATAATAAAACACTCAATTACTTTGTTATGTACGATACTTAAAATATGTCTCCATCTTTATTTATCTCATTTAAACTATTTTTATTAAATTAAATCTTAAAATTTATTTCTCACCTTCATTAATGGTTGAATTTTTATTTTATTTTTTGTTTATAAAAGTTCAGAAACTTGTGGAAAAAATATAGTCAACAAATTACATTTATAATTTAAAAAAATTATGAAAAATAAATAATAATTTCATATATATTTAATAGGGTAAATTAAATTACATTTATATTTTTTTTTCTTTAGAAAATGTTTTATTTCGTTGTGTGTGTTTAAATTAGTATTAGAGTCTGATTTATCAGTCTTGTCAATAAAATTATATGAGTATTAAATATACAGAAGAAGTAAAATTAGATAATTTAAATAATAATTTCGTTGTAAATAATAATAGAACAAAATAATGGTAAGAAATAATAAAAAAAAGAGTAAAATCTAACCATTAATGAAGGTGAGAAATTAATTTTAAGATTTTATTTAATAAAAATAGTTTAAATGAGAAAAATAAAGATGGAGAAATATATTTTAAGTGTCATACAACAAATTAATCGAGTATTTTAGTGTTCTAAAATAATTTATCTATTCAAGTAAAGGTTAATTTTGTTTTTTGGTGTAATAAATGAGAAATTAGTTGAATTGTTTTCCCAATATAATATGTTTTTTGTTAAGTAAAAAAAATTTAAAACATATTTGTAAATCAATAATTATTAATTTATTGATAAATTGATATGTGACTAAATTAATAGAATTTGAGTGATCCCAAAGCCTTTAATTTAAAGAAATTATACTGTATTTTAATTTTATTTAATTAATTCAATTTTAAAGGGCTATTTTTTATTTTATTTTAAATGTAAGATATCATGGATCATCAAGAACTAGGGTTCCAAAATAGAGCTTACACGGTCCGTGAGCAAAGATATAAAAGCAAAAATCTTGTAAGGGGTTCTTCGTCTTGCAGAAGAATCGTCCTTAGGTTTTCGAGAATTGGTTTGATGGATATCGGCGAAATCTATACGTTCCGTCACTACGTCGGCCGGCCAGCGCGCCATCTTTGGAGAAAGGTTAGTATTGTGTTGCGGTTTGCAATATGCTTATCCTTTAAAAAACTTGCCGACCATCATAAACAACGAGATCAATACCGACCACCACCATCATCATCATCGTCGGCCGGTTTGATGGAAATCGATACCTTCGATCACTACGCTGGAATCGATCCCCTCCTTCACGACCTTGAATACGGACTATCATCATCATCGTCGTCGTCGGCCTTACGATCACCAGGTAAAGTAGCCTATATCTGTGTATGCACCATTGATAAGTATGAGTGGTACGCGTTTGACGTCTCCGATGACATCAAACACAACCAAACTCCTCCTCCTGCTAAATATATTAACTACCCTGTTCCTTTTCACGATGACGATGAGTCCGGAGTGGTAAATCTCAAACCCCAAGTCACTGCAAACATGGATTGGATTCTTGGCTGGGAGATTTTGGGCTTCAAGAAATTGTATATTCTTGATGATTGGAAGGGACCATTGGCTTCCGGAGAAAGCAATCGAGTGGATCGTATTGACGTTAGCCGTATTAGTTTCTACCCGTGGGAATGGGAGCCCGTTCAAAATATGCCTAATCAGATAACTGCATCAGCGCACACCTGCGTTCTCGGCGGCAAGTTTTATTGCTTGGGGGGTGGTCATAGCTCTCAAAAGGTGGAGTCCGTGAGGAAGTCACAGTTGGCCATGACCTACTACCTGAGCTTAAAAGCAGGGACCTCCCCACCTCCCCCTCCATGCCTTGACCTTGACAAAATATTGTCAGCCTTTAAAGAGGTCCACAAGCCATATTTGCCCTCTCAAAACTTGGAGTTGGAGGGGCAGTCACCGAACTCTGAAACAGAGCGTTACGTTCACAAACAATTGTCCTCAGCAATCGAAGTGGCAATCTCAAAGCGTTACCTTTTGGAAAAAACCATTTACATGCTCTACTTTGACAACAATTATTCTTCTCTGTATAGCTACATATTCTTCGTTCAACAAAAATACTATATTGAAAAATTATTTTACCATAACTGTGTTCGCCAAAAATACTTTCACAAAAAATTGATCTCAGCAATGAAATATGCTCAGCCATGTTCGTTGTCACTGAATTATCCTGTTATGGATTACTTTCTAAAAGCAATCTCATTAGTTGAAGAATTCTTCAGACCATCAGTTGAAGAATATGAACAAATCCTCAAGACATCAGTTGAAGAATTCCACATCCCATCAGTTGAAGAATTCCACAAGCCATTAGTTGAATTTGTAGAATTCCACAATAAATCATTTGAAGAATTTGAATGGGTTGAAGAATTCCACAAGGCATTAATTGAAGGATTTGAAAAATTCGTCAAGCTATCAACTAAAGAATTTAAAGACAAGCCATCAGTTGAAGAATTCCACAAGCCATCAGTTGAAGAATTCCACATGTTACCAGTTGAAAAATTCCTCAGGCCACAGTTGCCATCGGTTGAAGAATTTTTCAAGCCACGTTTTCCCTCTCAAAACATGCAGTTGGAGTTGGAGAGGCAGTCACCGTGGATCATGGCTTATGACATGAGGCAAAAGAAATGGGAGTCTCTGCTTGATCCTCCATATCTTCCCATTAAGATTGACAATATATTCACAGCTGCCAGAGAGTTCCCCAATCAATGTTTTGTGGTGGGTTTGCCTGAGGATTGCGTCCTCCAAATCTACCATGTAAATACCCAACAGTGGGAAGTACAAGAGTTCAAAATATGCCCCAAGTTTGGCCCAAAAGTGTTAACTGGGCCAGCTTTGTCTGTTGACAGTAAGCTTTATTGGTATTCAGTTGATGATCACTGCCTAGTTGGATATGATTTAGTGACAAAAATGTGGTTCGTGGGCAATTTCCCTATCCATGACCATGGAGAGCGTTTTGGAGTGCTAGATGTTGACACTCCTCCACACTTGGCTCATCTAGGTGGCGACAACTTTTGCTTGTTGTGGGTTTCTGTGTTGCAGCACAAGAGTATGAAGAGTTCGGAGTCCAAGGATAATTGTATTTCTCGCCTTCACTGTATGAAGCTTCGAGTTACCACAGGAAACCTTCACCCAGAGAGTGGAATTATTTCCTTGGAGGTCTCTATCTGGTCTTGTCAATCTTACTTAGCTTCTGGGTTAAAGTTTTTTCGTGGTGGCTTGGTGGTGTAAGCATCTTTATAATTTTGTGTACCTCTTCATTTTCATTCCTCTATTTTTTCTTAATTATTTATTTATATATATATATATATATATTTATTGCTATAATTATTTATACACCACTGCCATTTTTGCTGAGCTCAAACAAAGCATATTAATTTTATAGATTATTAGAAAACAAAACATCCAAGGGGAATGACTCATTGGGAAAATTGCATCATGGTGTCAAGCTAAAATAAAAGTGAAAGAAGTCAATACCAAATTCTTATCACCTTTATTTTCAACATGCCCTCTATGTACAACTAATATTATAAGATTAGTATGGACTGCCATTTACTCCAAAGTTCAGTGTTTTTGAAAGTTATAAACGAGCCAAGGTGAGAGGCCTCCTAAGGCCTAAGCACGAGGGCTTCATCGAAGCAAGGCAAACCTTAAATCTATTTAACATATACAAAAAAAATCTTCAATAATTTCAAAAGCAAGATATATCCAACATATCCAAATGCTCATAAACAAGATATATCCAGCATATCAAAATACTAAATATACATAAAACACAAGATATCCAACAAAAGCAAACCAAATAAATCAAACATTTCCAATTACCATTGTCTGACAAAAAACACAAGATATCCAACAAAAGGCAAACCAACTAAACATGTATGTACTTTCACCAATCATAAGACTCAAAATATCATCATCAACATAAGCAAATCAACTTCTTTATTTATTTTTCATTATTATGTTATTGTTGATGTTGATCAACCGCTTCTTTGCTCAATGTTGATGATAATTTCCTTGAGTAGTAGAAACTTGACTAGGAGTAACCAAGAGACTTTTGCCATCAATAGTATCCTTCTCCTTATTGGCATATATCTCATCAAAATTCAGCAACAAGTTCAATTGTTCCTTTGGTTGACTTTTCTTATATATAAAGGTCATGTTTGGTTTGTATTTGTGAAACCAAAATAAAACTAAATCAAGCCTTAAGTCCCATCAAATGAGGTCGGTTATTTGTATTTGCGATACAATTTTGAAAAATAGTTTTCTGGAAAAGTTTACAAAATTTGAAAAATTGTTTGGTTATAAGTTTTTGAAAATAGTTTTGAAATTTGGGATGATTTAATTTTTTTATTTTTTTTAGTTGAATAGATGGGTGTGAGAAAAAAAGTGATTGATTGATGTGTAGTAGAGACAAAAGTGATTTTGGATTTTTATTTTTTTTTTCCAAAATTTTCAACCAAATAAAATTTTGAAATTTTTATTCCAAAAATTGTTTCTCAAGAGACAAACCAAACAAGGCCAAAGTCTCTAATCTCTTCTTTTACGTGAGACAACCTTTTACGAGCAACCACATTTTGTAACCACCGGCAAGATATTGCTTGACCATGTAAACACCCCCATTCGTTTCTTTCTTGCAAAAATTGCAAACAAACTTGGACACATTTTGGGGATTTACCATCTGTGCGTACTGCCATCCTAGATATTTTCAATTATTTCTGCCTAACTACGACATCTAACCAATTATTGAATATCAATAAACCAATTAAATGTTAAGAATTTTCAAATCAAGAGCATTTTGAAAGTAATTGAGCAAAAATTAATTAATCTAGCAAAATTACAGCAATTCAGCTAAACAACAATACAATTAAGCAAAAACTACTGGAAAGTAATCATACAATTCAACAAAATTACACCTTATCAAAGCTGCAAGTGATGTGGATAAAAGAAAAAAAATTTGTTAAGTGATGGAAAGGATAAGGTCCCAGCTTATTCACCCAAAAAAAAAAAAGGTCCCAGCTGGTCAAAGAAAAGAATTTTTTCCCCCTCCAAAAATCATTCACTTTTCTCATCGAGAACTACAAAGTTTTAGCAAAAAAAAAAAAAAAAAAAAAAAAAAGAATTTTGAAAAAAGTAAAAAGAAAAAAAACTGAAGAAGTTTATCACTGAAGAAAGAAGGCAGAGTATCAAAAATAAAAAAAAAAAATAAAAAATAAGAGCTCACTAGAACCTTTATAACCAGCACAGATAGGGCAATTTCAGACTATGTGGGTCATATTCCAACAATCAACACTATCATGATCTAAATGAATTTTTAACTTGTTTTTTACTAGCTTATTAAAAAAATAAATAATAAATAAAAACTTATTCTATTCCATTTATTTAATAGGCATAACCAAACATGAGAATGAGAACATCATTCTATTCCTATGTCATTCAATGTTGGCAAACCAAACAATCGAACGGGAATGGATATTCCATTCCATTCAACTTTGTTTTCCATACTCCCCTCATTCCATTCCTTCGTACAAACATGCTCTTAGATTAGAGTAAAAGACTAATCAAGTAGAGAATCTGAAGCTTGTGCGATATGTTAAGTAGTTGATTAAATAATTAGAGGCCTTATAATTGATGAGACTAGCTAGATGGTTAGAAATCCAAACAAGTTGTAGCTGCTGGAGAAATATTATAACCATATGTGATGTGAAAATCAGTCTCCTTGTATTAAGTGTGTTGGAGGTTTGGTGTTTGTCCTGTTTGGGTTTGCAGTGGTTGGTTTGGTGTGAAAGGGGATTTGGGTTTGGTGTTTGGAGTTAAGTTCTTCTTAACTTAAATATCGTGAGGTCAAGAGGTTGGTTAGTTGGTTGCGAGTAACAGTAGTAGGGATAGTCTGTACTTTCTCGAATCTCTCTCGATACTTGTCATCTTTCTGTACCTTTAATTTCATATTTTTTTAATGAAATTTTTCTTTGCTGATCAAAAAAAGAAAAAAAGTTAGTCCCACCATTGGGTCAGGAACTTCTAAGATGATGTGCATAGTTGTTGTGCTTGAAACATCATGATCTATTGCTCAAAACTGAATGCTAGATGTCACACGTCATATATGAGCTACCAAATTGCTTCCGGAGGCCTCTATAGATCATTTACTGACATTGATGTTGGGTTTTACTTCGATACAATAAAGAAATCTGAACACTCTGTTTGGCGTGGGAAAGGTCTCTTTGTTGCAATCCTTGTCATGAGAGCATTGGTTGCATTACTGAGTCATGTTTCATGACTTAGTTTAATGATGATTGCGACAAAGGAGTTCGTCCTTTTTCTTTGTGTGAGCTTGCATGTCCTGGGGTTCCATGACCCAAGTACAAAAGTAGAAAGAGACTGAAAGGAAAGGAAAAGAAATATGAATTGGGATAAGAACTGTTATAGATGTAGAACCACAGTGACGTATCAAGGGTACCGAATCATGTTATCAATGTCTTAAAGATAATGAGTGAAGTTCCCAAAGGTTCAAAGATCAACAAGATGAATAAGAACATAGGCATGTATGGGTTGGTAATAGAAAGAGTTAGCCTAGATGCCTTGCTAGATGTAAAACTATCTTTGAATGGCAAATAGCAAAATAAAGGGCAACATGGGCCAACTTTGACTTTGGCATAATAGTTGTGTGCTTCAGTTGGCTTTGCCATGATGGATAATGCTGAATGCCATTGATTTTGACAAAGCAGTCTGCTAAGTTGTTGCTGGAGCATTTGTGGGTTTGCTGCTGGAGAGTCAAACTTGGACAGATGCTGCAAGTTAACCCATAAATCATTAATGGGGTTTTTCATCTTTACAACTTCTGAATAGATAGCCCTTGCTATTAGGCTTGTGATTGTTGATCAACAAGAAACCATTGTAGACTTGATTCCTATGAAGGACATTACTGCTAACTAGACTCAAATTACTTCAAATGGTACACGTTCATGAATATAAGGAACTTAAGTTGCTCATCTGAGATGTGTCTTTCTGCACCGGCCCCCAGTATTGCCAGGAAAAACTCTGATAGTTTTATGATTGTTACTGTTTAAGAAGTATTTCACAATGCTGCTGAAGTGAGAAGATATGCCGGTAAAGGCATTTTTACTCCTTATCCTAAAGATTATGTGAGTGTAGACACCCCATTTTTGACCGTCCTTAAGACTTGGACGTCACCGTTTGAACACTCGGTGATCATCCACGTTTGTGTTCGTCTTGAGTTCCCGGAGGTCTCGGCTATGCGCCTTGCCTTAGGACCTCTCGACTCTATTGTGTTGTGTTTGGTTTTGTACTAAACACTTGTGTTTTTGTTTGGAGGGCAGGGAATGGCTTGTTGGCCATCTCCACTCCTCACCGGCCATGGCTTGAGGCCACCGGCCATGTCTTCTTGCCACCGGCCATTGGTGATGGCCAGTCGGAACTTTGTGTGGCCGACCGACCATTTAGTTGGTCGATGGCCTCCTTTTCTGGCCGGTACCACATTGTTGCCTCTTGCAGGCATGATGCATGCCAGCTGTGCCCGCTGGGATGCACAGACCCTCCCCCCACACACGTATGTGGCTGTTTTGGCCCCTTTGCCCTATTTTTTTTGATCCAAACTTCTTGTAGAAGATTGCACCCTTTGCTCAAGCTTCTTGAGGAAGCTTGACCCTTTGTCTTAGCTTCCTCAAGAAGCTTGGACCTTTGGGATAGCTTCTCTTAGAAGCTTGGTCCCTTTGACCCTTTCATTTAGCTTCTCTAAGAAGCTTCAAGCCTTTGCCTTGTCTATATAAGGAGACCTCTCTTCTCCATTTGAGAGGTTCAGCAAAACCAGACCTTATATGATATATATTTAATATATATCACTCTCTCTATATATATCTCCCTCTCTCTCTTCATTTGTATGTGTTTGAGGGCCTAAAAGTGTAGTTTGTTCTTAGTTTTGCACTAGAACACCTACTATTACACCATACTTCGACTTGGGAGGTGTTGAGAGGTTGTTCTTGGAGTTTTGAGCTAATTTTGATCATAAGGAAGAGGCTGAGGTTGCTGTTCTTCAAGTGTTCTTCAAGGGTAACACTATTTGCTTTATATTCTCCAATCTTGCACTAGTTTTTAACCCACTTTGCATGCTGTTTTAGACTTTGTGTATAACTTGAAAAAGTCTTGTATTTGCATGCTTAAGATCTTTCATTAAGGACATTTTGTTGTTTGGGGTCGACCTCCCTCCTCTTAGGCCTTGTTTGGCTC